TGCGTTCAAGCAATTCTCCTGCCTCAGCCCCCTGAGTAGCTGGGATTACAGGCATGTGCCACCATGCCCAGCTATTTTTTTGTATTTTTAGTAGAGATGGGATTTCACCATGTTTACCAGGCTGTCTCGAACTCCAGACTTTAGGCAATCTACTTGCCTCAGTCTCCCAAAGTGCTGGGATTACAGGCATGAGCCTCCATGCCTGGCATGTGGTTTTTGTTTTAAGTAAATGTTGCTTCCTTTTAGTTATAGGAAGGAGACATTTCCTTTCTTCTCTCATCAAGATATAGGTTCAAAAATAACCTGCAGGAATCCTTACAAATTTAAAATTTATTTAGAGGTTTATCTGCAACTTCAGAGCTCTATAGGGATGCATATCCTGAGAGCAAACCACTTGAATTGCTCAACAAAAAGACCACAGTTGTGAACTGGATACATTCATGACATCAAGGGAAATATGCCTATAATGCCTGTAGGAATAATGAAAAGTTAATGATAGAAGAAGCCCAATCTTCTGCGATAGTAAGTATTGTGAAGAAAAGAAAAGTGTTCAATGCCAAATGAAGTCAATATTACCTACGATGTAGTGAAAAGGGTTTTTTTTTGCTTTATTTTTATTTATTTATTTACTTTTTGAGATGGATTTTCGCTTTTGTTGCTCAGGCTGGAGTGCAATGGCATAATCTCGGCTCACCACAACCTCTGCCTCCTGGGTTCAAGTGATTCTCCTACCTCAGCCTCCAGAGTAGCTGGGACTACAAGCACCCACCACCATGCCCAGCTAACTTTTTGTATTTTTAGTGGATACAGGGTTTCACCATGTTGGTCAGGCTGGTCTTGAACTCCTGACCTGGTGATTCACCTGCTTCGGCCTCCCAAAGTGCTGGGATTACAGGCATGAGCCACCGCACCTGGCCTTGTTTCATATACATCTTATACGCATAGACTGAAGGTGATTTCATATAAGATTTTTAGTAATTTTATGCATGAAACAAAGTTTTGACTGCACAACCCTTTTTTTTTTTTTTTTTTTTTTGAGACGGCATCTCACTCTGTCACACAAGGTTGGAGTGCAGTGGTGCGAACTCTGCTCACTGCAACCTCTGCCTCCCAGGCTCAAGGTTAAGCCCAGCTAATTTTTTGTATTGATAGAGACGGGGTTTCACCATGTTGCACAGGCTAGCCTCAAACCCCTGAGCTCAGGTGACCTGCCTGCCTCAGCCTCCCTCCCAAAGTGCTGGGATTACAGCTGTGAACCACCTCGCCCAGCCTGCACAAACTTTTGACTGTGACCTGTCACATGAGGCCAGGTGTGGAATTTTCCACTTGCAGCATCATGTTGGAATTCAAAAAGTTTCGGATTTTGTAGTATTTCAGATTCTCAGATTAGGGATGCTCAACCTGTATATGTATATGTGTGTGTATATGTATATCTCAGGGTAAAAAATGTTGGTAAAAATTATGGGTAAATTGGCCTTAACAAATAACTGTATAACAGTGATGTCTTCTGAATAATTCAAGAATGAGATTCTAGAGAATGGGTTTTTAGTGGTTGGGACAGGTTTGTTTTTGAAATGAATGCTTTCCAGAACTTTTATTTATTTATTATTTTCGAGATAGGGTCTCACTCTATCTCCTAGGCCGGAGTGCAGTGGCTCAATCTCAGCTCACTACAACCTCGACCTTCCTGGACTCAGGTGATCCTCCCACCTCAGCCTCCTCAGTAGCTGGACTGCAAGTGCACGCCACCATGCCCAGCTAATTTTTGTATTTTTTTGTAGAAACGAGGTCTCGCCGGGCATGGTGGCTCACGGCTGTAATCCCAGCACTTTGGGAGGCTGAGGCAGGCGGATCACCTGAGGTCAGGAGTTTGAGACAAGCCTGACCAATATGGTGAAATCCTGTCTTTATAAAAAAACAAAAAAATTAAAAAAAAGAAAGAAAAAAAAAAAGAAACGAGGTCTCACCTTATTGCCCAGGCTAGAACTCCTGGGCTCAAGCAATCCGCCTGACTCAACCTACCAAAGTGCTGGGCTTATAGGTGTGAGCCATCACACCTGGCCTTTTATTTATTGTTTTGATTATGCATATACTTAATGTTATTTCACAGCTTTTTGCCAATGCTTTATTTTCTCTGAGATTTTGATCTTTCAGCTCTGCAGTTAGCTAGGATTACTATCTATATAAATAGTACTGAATACATATAATACTCTGTCAGGCCTGTTGTAAATACTAATACTCAAAACTGTGAAGTAGGTATTATTACTATCCCCATTTTCTAGATGAGAAGACTGAGGCGCAGGGAGGCTAAATAATTTGTCTAAAGGCAGAACATGACTAATACAATTTTTTAAGTGGAGGGAACTAACACCAAGGTGTCAATGATGGTTTTTCAGAGTGTGGGGTTACAAAATTGTTAAGAGGATTGAAATGACGATCTTGAACTAAGCCCATGGTAGCTGAGCTGGAACAGGCAGGACAGACTCTAGAACAGTTTAAGAGAAAATATTGGCAGGACTTGTGGATAATCGGATGTGGGGATGAGGCAGAGCAATGAGGCTAGGAAGACTGGCCTCTGGCTGTGACTGAGTGGACATTTCACTAGGGTAGGAAATAAAAAAGGGGAGCAGACTGGGGAGAAATTATGTGCTCAGTTTTGACATTTTGAGTTTTATTGTAAGCATTTGAACATGAAAAGTTTAAACTTAAGACAGGCCGCACATGGTGGCTCACACCTGTAATCCCAGCACTTTGGGAGGCCAAGGCAGTTGGATCACCTGAGGTCAGGAGTTCAAAATCAGCGTCCCCAACCTGGTGAAACCCAGTCTCTACTAAAAATACAAAAATTAGCTAGATATGGTGCTGCACACCTGTAATCCCAACTACTCGGGAGGCTGAGGCAGAAGAATCATTGGAACCCGGGAGGTGGAGGTTGCAGTGAGCCCAGATCGTCACTTCACTCCAGCCTAGGTGACAGAGTGAGACTCTGTCAGGCCAGGTGTGGTGGCTCATGCCTGTAATCCCAGTACTTTGGGAGGCCGAGGCAGGTGAATCACCTGAGCTCAGGAGTTTGAGACCAGCCTGATCAACATGGCAAAATCTTGTCTCAAAAAAAAAAAGAGACTCCATCTGGCAGGGGGTGGGGAGGGGAGAAGAAAAAAAGAAAAAGTCACCACAATAATTCACTGTTGGACACTCAAGAACTGGTATTTCCCATGAATTTGTATAGTACAAGTAACAGGGATAATAGTAGTTGGTTAAAAGGATTTACTGGGACTGATATGTTGGTTTATGAGCTACAAGACTGCATTAGCTTTTCTTTTGTTCCAACTCTAAAAATTGAGCAACTAGCCCTAGTGCCTGATACAGAGTCTTCAAGAGATGTGTTGACTGAAGCTAACAAAGTGATTTATTTATTCATTGAGACGGAGTTTCACTCTGGTCACCTAGGCTGGAGTGCAGCGGTGCAACTTTGGCTCACTGCAACCTCCGCGTCCGGGGTTCAAGCAATTTTCCTGCCTTGGACTCCCAAGTAGCTGGGACTAGAGGCGTGCACCACCATACCTGGCTAATTTTTTGCCTTTTTAGTAGAGACAGGGTTTCACCATGCTGACCAGGCTGGTCTCGAACTCCTGACACCCACTTCTGCCTCCCAAAGTGCCCGGATTACAGGCATAAGCCACCGCAGCCAGCCTAACAAAACGATTTTTTTTAAAGAGGAGGGGCGATGTATCTTATATTTATTAAACTTTTTGCTATTTGAAGAATTAATACATTCATGCAAAGGAAAAGATTAAGTAAACATGTCCTACAGTGTTATCACTTGAAATCTCTTAAAAGCGGCTCTGCAACTCTGTCCCATGAGTGTCTGCCACATATTTGAAATTCCCAGGTTTT